AAAAGCCAGGCCAAACGTACTCTTAATTTTAAAATTTCACGATATTGAAAAGGTATTTTTAAACTTTTTTTTCCTCATTCTCCCTTCACCTCTTAATCCATCTGATTAGGCCATCCCTCTCTTTCGTCATCTTTCCTTCAACTCATCCCCATCCTTAATTCAAACCTTCTTAACTAATAAGAGAATTACAAGGGACAAGGGAAGGGTCAGGGGAAAGAGGTGGGGATGCGAGGTTGGTAGGAGTCCGAAGGTGCTTCTACTAAGAATACGTTAAGTATGAAATTGACAGCTAGAACTATGTAACTATCATATTGGTAGTTTGAAATCTCAACTCATCCAATTTAGAGCATGACAGCCTACGGCTTATTTAAGGAAGGTTTCTAAAACCTTCACTAAAATGGTTTTTCAAAAGGGTGAGAGAAGGATGAAGACAAAATAAATTAGAGGGGTTTGGAATTAAAAGTTTATTTGGCTAATGAGAAAGTAGGAGAAAATCTAAGTTCAATGTCTCTATTTGCAATTAGTAATATTGGTTTAATCATAACAGATAATGCCCGTATTAAGTTTAATCTTTTGAAAAAAATGAAGAATATCATGATAAATTAATTTTTTGTTAATTAATGTATAAATTAATAAATTATCGATTAAATAATATATCGATTAATTAATAAATTTTCATGGTCTCAAAGTATTTATAGAAGTTTTATTGTAATATTATTCATTATTTTTAACATCAATTGCTCAAATATTTAAAAAAATCATGATATTATTGTAAGAAAATCTTTACCCATTATAAATCCTGTCGCATAGCACAAGTATCTTCTAATTTTATTATGGAAACTGATCAATTTAGTCAAATTAATGGAGACTGAAAAGTATTTTTGAAATTAATTAAAACTAAATAAATCAGATACATTAGTTAAAACCAACATTTTTTAATTAATATGATCTTAATAGAATAATGCTTATCCTTACTTATAAGCACCGATTAAGTAGATCTTTTAACAATTATCAAAGCATATTTTATTACATGGTCGTTCAATCTAATATTTCTTGCTCCACTGCACGTTATTGCAATTCCCTATCATTGTTTTAATATAAGCTTAATTTATTATCGTGAATGTCGTAGAAATGAGGATGCATGGGCGGTTAGCAAGGAACGGAACTGACATAGTTGATGTATCAAATGCCCTATTAGTATAAATAATTTACCTCGACAAGGCAGGCGAAACAGATAAAAAGAGATTATAAAAATTATAAAAAACAAGCTACCTTAACTTATTCTTATATAAAGTCAGGACGAGTCGATTGAATAAGTATTTAGCTATTTTAAGCATCTTTACCGATTTGGTTTGAAGAAAAATGAAGTTTGCTGCCCTAGGAGGGTATTTGAATCCTTGTGGATTTTCATTTTTCTGGGTAAGGTTTAAATTCAGCTGCTAAAAGTTCTTGAAAAGAGTATTGGGCTGAAAGATAAGTTGAGTAAGGTAAGCTTACTTCCCTTTTGCTCAAACTAGAAAGTAAGTCAATGCACTAAAGAAATTTTGAGTTTTGTAGATAATTTCAGATTTTGAAGTGTTGGTTTGGTGAGGGGAGACTCACCAAAGAAGGAAATAAGTTGGGAAAAAGGTAAAGATGGTTATGTAATGGGTAATTGGTAGAAAATTGGCTAGAATAAGTCGAATGTGAATAAAAGGCACACTAACATGCTGTTGGGTGCGTATGAGCTGCTAAACATGGAAGAATAAGTAAGAAATTGAATTTCTATGCTATTGTAGATACTAGGGTGCATTTGGGGCTCAAGAAATTGGTGGCTAGAAGCTCGATTTTGCTAGTTGAGCTATGGTATAAACGGTTATCAGGTGAGTGGATGTTGCAATTAAAGGATTTTGGAAATGCATGAAATGGGATTTTAATTGTATACTACAGTGTAAATGATTTCAAAGAAAATGTATAGGAACAAGCTTTTATTTTTTTTATTTTTTAAAGAACAAGCTTTTATTTATTGATCTTACACGATGATGTATGAACCTTTGAATGTGGTGTGATGTTCTTACATGTATGTGCATATATGTTAAAGTTGGACGATTATTTGACTAGGTGTTATTGTGCTAGGCCTAGTGATTTATAAAGCTGAAATTACATTGGCGTGAATATAATTGTGAATGAGATCATTGTTATGTCGTGTGATGCATAGCATTGTCTACGGTGAGGTAGAAATACCGCTGGCGTTTGGGTCGAAGTACTTTATGTGCATTGCCATAGTGGGGCAGAAATACCACTGGTGTATGGGTCAAAGTACCCTTGATGCATTGCCTGTAGTGAAGCGGATATGCCACTGGTGCTTGCGTCAGAGTACTTTTTGTGCATTGTCCTTAATGGGGTAGAAATACCACTAATTGTCATGTTTATGTATGCATTTTAATTGTGGCATTGTTGTTAAAAAATGAACTATCTTAGCATGGTATGCTGGGTTTAAGTGATGTAATTGGAGAACCAAGAAGTGTAAATGATTGGTAACGATGTTAGTGTTGGAATGGAAATATAAGAAAGGGTGATATAAGTTGAAATCTTGGGTTATTCTAAGGGAAGGGCTTGGACAGCCTTGATTTATAAAATACATGCAGAAGAATTTGCATATTTGAATAAGGTCTTGAGACAAGCAAGGTAGGTCTCGAGACCTTTCAAGCAATTTGGTCATTTACACTCTTGGTTTCTTAGAGGACCAAGACTTGAGCAAGTCTCAATACTCTTGCCTTTTTTTTCACTAAAAGTGGGCTGTCCAATTCTTATTTGTAAGTTGAGAGCTCGGTAAGATGCCAAAGCTTATGATTAAATACCAAGGATGATTTCTTAAGTAAAAATTTGTATTTTGGCGGATGGGACCCATTTGCATAGAAAAAATGTGCATGGTTTCAAGTAAATGTGTATTGTTTGTAAATTATCTTTTGGCTGTTGCTTGTTCCCGTCATTTTAAAACTTATGTTTCAATGCATCACATTTATATATACATTCATAAAGCACAATCTTATACCAAGGGCGGATCTAATCAATTTTTGTTTAGAAGGCTAAAGGTGAAAAGAAATAAGAGTTAAAAATTTTTAAAACTAATATATTGAATTTAACCAATAATCAAAATATTGATAATAGAAAATAATTTTATATAACAAGTAAATAAAAAAAAGACTTATAATAATCTTTTAGAAAAAGTAATGATATTTCTTGAATTTTAATTCATCAATTATTAACTCTATACCAAAAAAACTAGTAATATCTTTTTCAATATAAACAACTAAATTATTTGCAAGAAACTCATTATCCATTTTGTTCAAAAGTCTTATTTTTATAATTTTTATTGTTGAAAAGATTTTCTTTTTAGTTATTGTAGAAACTGAAAGAGTCAAAACAAGACGAATTAATGTATCAAGCGGGATTAATAGAAAATAATATGTTGATGAAATTTTAAGCAACAACCAATAGTGTAACACAATAACTTATATTTGAGAATTACATAATAATTTTTTAATTTTTAAAGATTAAAATTATACAAAATAAAATATATATATAACAGAAAAAAGAAGAACATGACAAGTAAATGATAAAACTTACAGAACTAAAAAGAAAAAAAAAATATGGTTGATGATTCATAAAAATTTAGAAAAGAAAATCTACAGAAACTATGAACATATGAACAAACAGAATAAAAATAAAAAAATAAACATATAATAATAATAAAATATAAAAAATAAAATATTATTTTATATTAATTATTAAATAAAAAATTATTTTTAAAAATATTAAAAATATAGATAATAAAAAATTTTAAAAATTTTAAGGAGGGCCATGGCCCCCATAGTCCTATTA